GGTCTGTTTCCTGCTTTCCCAGCCTGTGTCATCCTCCGGGTACTGGTGCAGGCCTATCCCATCCTGCTGGTGTACACTCCTCGAGGGCAGGAGCTGAGCTTGACGATCACTATGACCCAGTGTCCCGTGGTGCTTCTGGGCCACGGTGGGCAGGGAAGCTTTGACCAATTAAATGGAGGTGAGGGCTCGGGGGCTCCAGGGTCCCTTGAGGGGGGAGGCTCACTGCTGTGAGGGATGGGCCCAGCCGTGCTCAGAGAAGCCCAGCAGAAGGCAGTCCCTGCCAGCCCTGTCAGCACCACACAAGTGACAAGAAGGTCAAGATTCATAGGTTCTGGTCTGCGGAGGCAGGTTTATCAGCATCAGCAGGAGACGGACATGGGTGCTGGCATTGTCACTCCTCCCAGGGGAGGCCACTTGAACCCCAAAAGTGGACTCCAGAGCCTGGCTCTGTCAAATGTATGTAGGCGGGGAAATCACTTGTTGCTGTAAGGTTCTAGGTGGCGACTTCGGCCCAAATCCATCTCCCTTAGCGAATCCTGCCTAGCCTTTGTGGCCCAAGGCCAGCCCCATTCTTTCTGGATGTTCTCCCTGACTTCCAGGCTCCACTGAGTCACCATCTTCTGGCCTCCTTGGGCAAACAGTAGAGAGGCTGAGCTCTGGTTTCTCCAGGTGGTCCCCCAGCCCCACAGAGGTGGGCATCAACCTCAGCATCCCACATCTTCATCCCACTCGGGCACATGGGAGGGGGCCAGTGGAGCCAGGCATTAGGCTTCCAAGCAGCCTCTGGCAGCATTCAGGGCAATGACATTGGGGGGCCCAATACACAAGGCCCCCACAGTCTGGAACCTCATCTCTCCAGTCAGGGGAGCTCATTGCTCCCATCACCCACATGCACCGAGCTACTTCACATCTCTGTTCCATGACATGGTCCGCTCTTCTGAAATGCGCCCCATGCCTCCCTAAATGCTCCAATGTTGGCCAACACCGGAGCTCAGAGATGCGGCCCGCTCGTTTGTTCCCTGGGCACCTACGGGAGGCCGGGCTCTGCGCCGGGTCCCTGTGTCATGGAGCTGGCCCACCAGGCCAGGGTCTGTACAGGCCCTGAGAGGCGTTGTGCGGAGACTGATTGTCGCATCCAAGAACCAGCGGGCATGTGAGGGGCCCCAAGCGAGCTCCATCCCATCATCTTTCAAACCTTCCTGACCACCTGGGATGCTGCTCACCTACATGGCACCTTTGTGCAAAGTAGAGAAAAGGGGCTCCCTCTCGGTGGACAAATTAGCAAAAAGTAGCCCCTCTGGGCAGTTGCAGCATCATGGGTGAACCGCCTGGTGGGCACAAGGTGCTCCGTGGGAAGAAAAGTGCCCCCTAACCCCTCTCTGCCAGGCACTTTGCATTGTGCACTAACTTTGGCCCCCCCACCTTCCCCCAAACAGAGCAGGCCTCCAGTGCAGCTCGGGGGGCGATGTGTACCTGGGTCTCCCGAGGCTGGTAAAGCACAAGCCAGGGGCCCTGTGAGGCTTGTCGCCCGGTGAGGTTCCCACCCCTCACCCCTGGTGAGGACCAGCGGGCGCCTCAGCCTGTGCCGCCACCTCACAGACAGCTTCATCCATAAAGGATCGGGGTCTTTAGTGTTCTTCAGTCGCTGAAAGAAGCAGGATGCTGTCAGCTGCCGTAAAAATGTGACCTTTGAAAATTTACAAGAGCTCAGGGTTTAAAAGCTGCGGCGTTAATGAGGCATCCTATTAGCATCTCATTAAAGGGAAGCAGAGAGAAGCCTGCCCAGCCCAGTGATGGGCAGTGAGGGTCTCTCCGAAGCACCAGGCAGGAGGAGGGCTCTCTTCATCTACCTCTCTCTTGTCACTCCTCCCAGAGGATCATCATGTCAGGGGAGCAGAAACATGACCAGGAACACTGGCAAAAGGCCAGATGTCTGGGTGACGTCACCGATGTCCCAGATGATGCAGTGGGAGGGGGCCAGGGGAGCTTCCTTCAGCCCTGCCTTCCTCCCCCCTGCCTGGGCTGTGCTCCTGGTTGGTTTCTGTGGCATTCTTGTGCTGGGATCCCCCTGGCAAGGAGAAGTGGAACTGGGGAGGCCTGCTCGGGCTGGGGGAGACCTGGAAAGCCTTCGGTGGAGTCACAGACCTTTGCGGACTCCGGACCAAGGGAGAAAGTCTTAGCAGGAGCTCAGTTCAGAGCTGGAGCCATGGACCCGCACACAGGGCTCCCGAAGCCTCCAGAACTTTGGAGACCATGCGTTTACTTTGGGCCTGGAGCCCTTTGCGGGAGGAAGGGCTCTGGTCAGGCCCAGCTGACTCCCATCACCAGCTGCAACATCCCTCACCCACCTGGGCGCCCAGGCCCCTGGCAAAATGCACAACTGTATCCAGTTTTTTCTGAAGGGAGTGGAGAAAGGAATGTTCATTTCGTTGTTTAAAAATAAATAAATAGAAATTTCTGAGCTGTGATTTGCTCGTAGGTTCAGAAGTTGCTAGTGCGAGTAGAGAGTGGCCTTATTTATCTTTCCCAAAGGAAAAAATGAAAGACCCTGTTTCCCTTCTCACAGCAGAACGGCTTTCTTGTACATAAGAACTTGCTTGTAATCGTCGTGAAAGACAGAGCCAAGCAGTAGGCGTGTGGTAACCACCCCTGGTTGCACCCACCCATTCCGGGCTCACCTCTGTGACCCCGGCTTCCTTCGGGAGGCTGACTTGCATACAGTTTGCAGAGCTGAGTGCTCCACTCCACTGGGAGCAGCTGCCTGAAGGCAGGGCTGAGTCTCAGTCATGGTGTCCCCGGGGCAGGGCCTGGCAGGGAGTAGGGGCCCAGTGCTTGTTTACTGAACAAACCAACTAACCAACAAATGCATTGGTGAATGACCTGGCAGGAGGGTTTTGGAGCCAAGGGACTAAGCCCTTGCAAAATTGTGCAGTGTTTCAAGTTCAGAAACCCCACAGTTTTAGAGCAAAAACAGGAACTCCTTAAGTTTTCGAGTTCAGAATTGGGTTACTCACTGTGGAGGAGGAGACCCCAACCCCCTCTACTGGTTTCAGCCGCTGCCATAAGGCCCAGAGCCTTTAAACTCCCAGAGCCCTTCCGGACCCTGTCCCAAAGTACCGGGCGGGGGAGGCACCATGCTGATTCAGCGGGGGACAAATGGCAAGGGCGGGAGGACCCTGAAAACCAGACCTGCCTCTGGCCTGAGAGGCCTCCAGGAACCCCGGGCTGCAGAGCGGGGCTGCAGCACCCCCTCCTGGCAGAGGGGTCTCTGTACTGTCTGTGAAGGAGGGTGCCTGAGGAGGCTGGAGTGTCGTCCTTCAAACCTCACCCCCCAGACAGGGCCCTGAATGGGACATCCCACAGGCTCCTTCCCCTTCACAAGCCTCTGGTTATGGGAAGCGACCTCTGCACCTCCCAGCCCACAAGCACCCAGGGGAAGCTGGGAATGCAGAGCTGGCTGCAAGCAGGGCGCTCTGCAAAGCCCTCTGTCTATACAGAATGCTATAGAAGCCACACTTTTGTTCCCTAAGTGCCACAGGACTATCGGTGAGTGTGGCTAAATCCCCAGCCCCCTCCCCAGCACCACCCCCACAGCCAACCCCAAGCTCCCATCTGTCCCACTGACAGAAATGGGGCAGGGGCCTCTGAGAAGGAAGCTTGTCCATTGAATTGTTCTTTCCTCCGGAGATTCACTCTTCCCTTTGTTTCCTGCTCTGTTCACAAAAGCAAAGCATCTGAAATGCAGGCCAGAGATAAAGTGCAGCCTAATGCAATTAGCTCCGTGCAGCCCACAGGTCCTAATGGGATACGGCTCCGCTCCTCCCAGCCGGCCCTAATGCAGGCGCTGTTTGTCATCTGCATTAGGCATCAAAGATCCAATAAGTACTGTCCTCCCTCCTCTCCACCCGCCCCTACCCAGCCATTCCCGCTGCTCAGGGAGGCCCAGTGGGGCGCTGCCCCCACCAGCAGGCTCACTGGGTCAGCTTTTGTGAGAAGTCAGGAAGACCATGGCCCTTACCTGAGAGAAGCCTACAGATGCCCCTTCAGGCCCCCCTGGGGGACAGCCGGCTCTGCCCCCCACCCCACCTCCTCCTTCATCCCAAACCTGGTTGGGGCTCTGGCTGCAGTCTTGGGAACTGTGGAAACTTCCTGAAACCACCTGTGCTGAGACCCCCACCACCCCCCCCCCACCACATCACAGTGATCCCAATCCGAGGCTCCAACATGCTTTTGAATTTCTTCTTGTTCTTTTTTTTTCTTATTATAATGGTAATGGCCATAGTAGAAAATTTAGCATACAGAAAAGTAGAGACAAGAGAATAGGAGTTACCCATATTCCTCTCACCAAGAATAACACCCGGGCTAGCATTTCAGTTTGTTCTCTCCTACACGTACTGTTTTACATGTGAGCTTCTATTTGTGTCATTTTATGTCCTGCTTTTCTCATTTAACATTATAGTGTAAGCATTTTGCCATCTCATTATGCATTTCAGTAAACATGATTTTTAATGACCATATAATATTCCATCAAGGCTGTAGCTCAGAGACCAATGTTGTGCTAATGTTTGTTTTCAGCCTGGGGTTCATTTTCTCATTAATCTAAATTAGAGAATGAGAATCTGAAACAGAGAGCCTCCCTCCTTCCCACAACAAGGAGCCAAGGGTCCCAGGGGAGATGCTACCTGTGCTGAGCTGTCCTCCCACAGGTCTCAGGCCCTACCCTCCGCACACCTCCTCCGTGGAGTGGCACGTGGGGGCCTCAGAGACTGGTATGGGGCCTGACTGCAGAGGGCGGCCGGGGAGGCACTGGGTTGGGTGTTCCTGGGGGTGGGACTGCAGCAGAAGCCTACAAGCACTAAGCCCAAATGCTCTGCAGCTCCCCGGTGGCGCTGGGTGTGGGGCCCAGTCTCTGCCACTGGCCCCGTGGCACCTCGGGGATGGGCCCCAAGTCAGCAGCCCCAGTCCGGCCGTGCTCATCCTCCTGCTCTGCTCCTCCCCAGGCCCCTGGAATCTCCAAAGCGGACAATCAGTCCCAGGGACTCACGACCAGCATCCGGTGGGGGCAGACGCCCATCAATCAGTCCACGCCCTGGGACACTGATGAGCCACCCTCCAAACAGATGAGGGAGAGCGACAATCCAGGTGTGTACTTCATCAGCAGCCAGAGACTCCCACGCCGAGGCTGGGAAGGGTGTCAGAGGCCCCCCGAGTACTCCAGCTCCTCAGCAGGTCCCGGCTCACGGGCCTGCAGCAGCCCAGGCCTCAGGCTGCCTGCGGGCAGGGACCCTGTGTGTCCTGGGCAGTAGCTGCATCTCTACCCCTTTCTCTTTGGGGGAGGCAGAGGGAGTGAGGGTGACATCACAGGAGTGACTGTGAATCTGCTTTGTGTTATTTTGAATAGTCCTTCCCAAACCTCAGGACTCTGGTTCATACGTCTCTCAAGTCACACCTTCCAAGGAGGTTTTGCCTTGCCAATGTTGAAATGAGAACCAGGATGCTCCACCCCCCGGGACTGGGGACTCCTCACCTCCTACAGCACTCCAGGCCTTCTTGGGTCAGCTCTGACCATAACAACACCTTCCCTGTTACCACACAGTGGTCCCAGACCTGCCCTTAGGATACACAGAACTCGTCTGCTTGGCCCTCCACACCACAGCCCTACAGACACCTGAACATCCCACTCATTCTCTCCTCCAAGTCTTCCGCAGGATAACCATGCCAGGTCCCTCGGCCGCACTCCAGAGCCTGTGGCTGCCAGTTCCTTTGCCCTCCAGAGAATTATTTCTCCCTCTGCGTCCCTCAGGGCCCGGAACCCAACGCAAAGAGCCCACATGTGCTATGACCAGCACCTCTTTCATTCAGCCCCTCTACTTTGACCACTGCAGTCTTAGGTCACTTCTGATTGGCTGCTAGCCCCAGACATGCGCTGTCACCAGTGAGACCCCAAGACTGTCATGGCAACAACTCTGACCCCCGTCCTCTCAATCTGCCTTAGGCAGCGGGGTGTGGGGACTCACAGGCAAGTCCTTGTCAGTATCTTCCCCTACGACTCCTAAGATCTCTTAGATTCCAGCTCTCTATTGCTGACCTGTGCCTAACCCTCCCGATACGATGTCACCTCCAGATTGGGTGGTGAGATCCTCCCTGTCATACAACTCATTGACAAATAGCATGAGCAGGGCTCAGTGCACATCATTAGAGACCTCCCTTAGGTCCCCAGCGTCCTCTGGGCCAGTCGCACTCTGATAATCAGTTGCCGCCATGGCCCGGCATCTCTGTACCTTCACCAGGGTTCCCGGAGAAGTCACTAGCTGTGCTCCCAAGTTCTGGTGCATCGTTTCAGGCTCCCCGGCTAATCCTGGAGAGAAATGAGCTTAGGCTGGCATGTCTTGTGCTTAAGACACCAGGCTGGCTTACAGCTGGCTCCTTTTCTTCAGACTTAGGGACAGTCCCCCTTAGGGGGGCCTATTCTAGAATCTTGCCGGCACTGCTTCACCAATATTTGCCAGCTTCTAGTTTTCTCTAACCTCCTGTTTCTGTGAGGGAGCTCCCACCTCCCATTCTCATCTCTGGGCCTGGGGGTTCTGAGTGGCCCCTGGCCCCCACTCTCTTCCTCAGTCTCCCTGCCCTCAGTCTATACTGCCATTTCAGCAGCATCATGAAAACCAAGGTGGCATTTGGGTGATGGAGACCTAGCCCCACACTTATTCAGTCAGCGGTGACCCAGGCTGCCTTTCCTGTCACAGTGTCTTCTGGCTTCACTCACAAGCACGCTTGGGTCACCTCAGTGTCAGCTCAGCTTAAGGGGACCTGACCCTGCTCGGCCTGACCTGGGCTCAGCAGGCCTCGAGTCTTGTATCAAGTCTCAGGAGGTGTGTCTTGTTCAGTCAAAATGCCCTTAAGGGCCAAATGCACTTCTGTTGTTTCTCCCAGGGCCGGCCATGCAAAGGTTGCCTAGGAGAAAGCCTGGCCCCCCAGCTCCTGCCCACCTTCCCCCACTTCCCGCACCTCCTGCTCCTCCCTTCCTGTACCACAGGGCCCTTGCACAGCTCCAGGTTCTGGTGTTCTCACCTTGCCCAGCAAACACCACCTTTCTCCCCACCTCCTCCAGACAGCTATTCTCCAGAAAGGAAGGAAAAACACCAACATTTATGGAACATTTAACACATGCCAAACACTCTGCTAGTTTTTCTTTTTCCTTTTTTCCAAACACATTTTCCTCATTCAATTCGTCCCAAGAGACCTCTGAGGTAGGTGTTGCTAGTTCCATTTAACAGACGAGAAGAATGAGGCTCAGAGAAGATAAGCAGCTTGCCCGGGGCTCCCGGCTCATAAGTGGCAGAGTCAGAATTTGAACCCAGAACTCTTTGAAGGTCTCTGCTTTTTTTCTCTCTGTTTTGTTGCCTCTTGAGCTCTCCCAAGTAGATTGTGCTCCCCCTCTGAGGCTCCACGGCCATCTGCTCATGTACCCCCAAAGCATTTATCCTATGCTACCATAATCACAGATTTTTAACCTGGGGGCTCCTGCACGCAGGTGTCTTTTCCACCTCTGTGACCGCAGCACACAGCCCAGGGCCGGGGGCAGTCGGTGTTTGCCGAGGGAATGTGTATCCAGCAGATGACATCTCTTCTGTCTCCCTTGCAGGCACAGGGCCATGGGTGACCACGGTGGCCGCCGGGAGCCAGCCTGCCCTGATCGCACACTCCTATGGAGTGACCCAGCCTCCCACCTTCAGCCCGGCTGTGAACGTCCAGGCCCCAGTCATTGGGGTGACGCCCTCACTGCCTCCCCACGTGGGGCCCCAGCTCCCGCTGATGCCAGGCCACTACTCGCTCCCACAGGCACCCTCTCAGCCACTGAGCAGCGTGGTGGTCAACATGCCCGCCCAGGCCCTGTATGCCAGCCCGCAGCCCCTGGCCATGTCCACACTGCCTGGCGTGGGGCAGGTGGGCCGCCCAGGACCCACTGCCGTGGGCAACGGCCACATGGCGGGGCCCCTGCTGCCTCCACCACCACCAGCCCAGCCGTCTGCCACCCTCCCCAGCGGTGCCCCTGCCACCAATGGGCCCCCCACAACTGACTCAGCCCACGGGCTACAGATGCTGCGGACCATTGGCGTGGGGAAGTATGAGTTCACCGACCCTGGGCACCCCAAAGGTAAGTTCCGCTGCCCACATACTCCTGTGTGCCCACATCTGTGCTTCCCCGAGCGGTCATGATGGCAGTGCGGACAGGAGTGTGCTCTCCAGCAGCTCCCTCCCTGGCCTCATCCAGCCCGGAAGCAGTGGCGGGGCCGCCCCCTGCCCAAGACAGCCTGGCCTTAGACGGAGGAGGCAGAGGGGAAGGTGAAGGAGGGAAGGAAAGCAAGGTGAGGACCTGTGAGCTGGCAAGGAGAGGAAGGGAAGGGAGAGCCTGCAAAGTCCGGGGTCCTTCGGCCTCCAGCCCAAGCCCTAGGCCATTCTCACCTCTGACCCCAAGGCCAGGCCAGGTATGGAATGAGCAGGAAACATCTGCTCCTCTTAGGGCTCCATGGAACAGTCCTTTGTGGGGCCTTCTCCATTTTCCACCCATAAGAACAGTCAGAACATGAATTGTATCCTTCCCCAGAAAAGCACCCTCTGCTGTGCCATCAGATGAGAGCAGCTCCCCAGACATTAGGTGAGAGGAATGTCTCTTCCCCAGGAGACACTCCCAGACCATCCTGAGCCACTTGGATTTTTTGTTTCAAGGACCCAAGGGTGGCTCTTTGAGGCTCCAGGAAAGAGCACCTCTAGCCTCAGCCTTCAGTGAACCCCTTTGCCCCACCCCCAGGGCAGTTTTCAAGGCAGATCTTTGACAACAGAGCCTGCAGGATGAGCCCCTAGCCTTAGGGTTAGGACAAAGTGCATCAGCAAACAGGCATCCCTCCTGAGGTCTGTCTCAGGGATCTCTCCAGCTGGAATGCAGAAGGGGGCAGGAGGACTAGGGACCACAGATGTTAGACAGGTGGGGTTCATCCACCCCAGACTTACTTGCTATCCCTTAGAGCTCCAAACGCCAAGCCCCTCTCCTGCTGAATAGAGAGGGGAGGCAGCCAGGCCCGGACCCAGTGGCAGGCAGGAGGGCACATGGTAGGCGGTCTGCCTGCTGGGCTACCCAGGCCTCCTTTGAAAGGGGGGAGTAGATGGTCCTAGGAGGTGTGGGCCTCTGGGCATCACTTCTCAGGCTTCTCGCTCACAGCTCCTGGAGATGGCTTCTCAGGGGGCCCTGTCTCTCTGCAGAGCAATGACTCCCACTAGCCATTCTTTCCTGCCTGCTCTCGTGCATCTCTATCTTTAATCCTTTCAAGCAATTTTCGGACCTCGTCAGGCATCCCCACAACAAAGCCGTGTCTAGATCTCCATTGGGTTTCATTCCCAATCTGATTGCGCCCCAACTGCCTTTGTTTTGGAAATCAGCACTAGTTTTAAATGACAAAATTATAGAAAATTACATCTAAATTCTGGTAAACTCTTGCTTTGTTTAAGATCTTTTTAAAAAAAATGGACTAAATTGATTTTTTGTTTGAATTGTTTTGGTTAAGCGCTCTCTCCCTTAAAAAGGAAAAAAAAAAAAAACTTACTCCCAGTTTATATGCGGCCAGCCCTGATACACTGGGAACTGGGTGTCCTGGCTGCACCCAAGGCTGTACCAAAGCCCAAGGCACTGGGTGGGCTTCCCTCTCCCACCATAGGGGCATCTCCCCCTCCCCCAGAGGCCTCCTAGGGCTGATGAAAGGTCTTACTGATTTGCCAAGTTTCAGACATGTATCTAGGAAGAGGACTTATTCTGGGCAGAAAGGTAACTGGCCCAGTTGGGCCTAAAGTCCCTGGTTTGGAGCTTGGCACAGAACTGGGGTCTGCCTCCTCAAAGGCACAGGTGCATTCTATAATCAGCAACCTGAGCCCATAAGTTAGGGGCCCAGGAAGTTACAGGCAGTAGAGACACACTGGGCCAGTGCGCCATTGCAGAGCCACACCTGTAACATCTTTCTGGGGCCAGAGGGCGTGAACCATCCTCTGTGCTGAGCCCAAACCCACAGACAGGAGGGAAGGAGAGAGAGGGCCCCTGAGGGAGTTTGTCCTGCTAGCCCTGGAGGGTGGATTCACTGCTTGGTGAGGCCAGGCACAGGGTCAGCCTAGAAAGTGTCCACAGCCCTACCTTCTGGTAAGCCAGTGAGATCCCTCCAGCTCCAGCCAGCGACAACTGGTGACCCATCTGTCACGCTGATTTCCATAGTTGGCCAGGGAGCAGGCTGTTTCCCCAGAGATTACATTTAACTCACCTCTCTATGGCCCTCATCAGCTGATTTATCCCCTTATATTTGTGGTGAAGAAAGACAATGAAGCATGAACATACAAATGCCTCCAAACTCAAGCCTGGGTGGGTTGTGTGTGTGTGTGTGTGTGTGTGTGTGTGTGTGTGTTTTAAGTAATTTCTCCTTTCATTTCTAATCTTAAAAGCCTTTATTGCTAAAGCTATAATTTGTCTGTCAGATCTAATGTCAAACAACTGCATATTTTTTAAAATAAGAAACCCAAATTTTAAAACCAAATCTTTGAAACTTACCATGTGAGAATCATATTCCTGACAAGACCATGTGGGTTTGGATTTGGGTCACTTTTAATTTTGCCCCTAGGGATTTTACATCTCCAAAACCCAATTGATTTCACACTCCTAAATGACAGACAGCTGGCTCCAAGTGAGAACCGGGAGGCACCGCGTGATGGTATCAACACTAGTCAGAACTCCACTTAAGGAAGGAAAAAAAAAGATAAAGAACTTTTCTTTTCTCCTGTTCTGTTTGAAAGCTTGCCCGGCATTATAATAAGATTCACCATCGAGCTCCTTGAGATCTAGCTCATTAAAGTCCCGCGATTTTTCCTCTATTGTTTGACATGACAACCTGGCCTCTCACGGGGTTGAGTAATTATGGAGAGATCCCCTCCATGAAGAACAGGTCTTGCCAGCCAGAGGGATGGGCCACTGGTATTTTTAGACTTCATTAGTGCCCTGATTTAAAATTTCACATTTTGTTTCTTGTAATTATCTTCCAATCGACGGAGCTGAAATTTCTGTTGGGGCTATGAGAGTCTGCCTTCCCAAAAAGGGCGTTGGGACTTTAATTTAAAACTTAACCAATTGAAAAATAAAGGTGGTGCAGAAATGCTTTTTGATTTGCAACAGGTCAAGCAAGCGATTGTTTCTCTTCTGTGACTAGAGAAGTTAGCTTGCATGCAGTTCACCTTAATGAGTGTTATTTAAATGCATTGAGCACATATAGATTTTCTTAAGAAACTTTATAAGATAGATCTTTCTTTCTCTAAGAACAATTTGGGGGTAGGATTTCATTCTTTTAAAAAAAAGATTATGTATTGAAAACTAATTAAAATATAGATTTCATGTGTGCAAAGTGATAAGGGAGGAAAAAAGAATTAGTTCTATTTGAATCCTGTTATCATATACCTGAGGCCTTTGTCTTGTTGGACTGGAAACCATGATGCAATCTATGGGCAGAGGTGGTGGCCAATGTCAGGCCTTGTGAGATGAGTGAGGGAAGTCTAATGTCACTGCCCCGGTACCACGGGAACCCAGCCGTGTGAGGGCAGAGGTGCACGCTCTTGGTGTCATTTTTCTATCCCCTGCCTTTTTCCACAAATGATTCCTGGGGGCTAAGAGGGTAGGCAGAGACCTTTAAAAGCCCCAGACTAATGGTGAGCTGCAGAAAGTTTATATTTTCACTTGCATGTCCAAGGAGAGAGAAGCAAGTTTGCACCTGCTCCCTTCTTCTGAACCAAAAAGCAAAATCCAAGTTGACCTGAAATGGTGAGGGCTCGTCTCTTCTGACTTCAGATTTTGTAGGCCTAGGGCGAGGGGCCATGAGGATTCCCACGGCTGGGCAGCCATGTTGTGGGGTGCGCTCAGCCCCGCCCTGTGGTTTCACACCTCTTCCTTCTCATCCTTGCCCCAGAACCCCACCACGGGGGAGCTCTGTGTGTCTTTATGCCAACTTCCGCTTGAAGAGCAGCCACTCTGTCTCCATAAGTGGCAAAGACAGGATCTGGAAAAGATACCTTGAGGCACAGTGAATAGCTGTGTGATGGGGACAAGTCTCCTAACCTCTCTGAGCCTCCTTTTCTTCATCTTTAAAATGGGATGAGAGTACCATCTTCATCAGGCATAGAGGAGGTTTGAATGAGATTGTGGACATGAGCATACGTAGTACTTTGCCCTCTTAACTCTGCAACACTGGCCTCAGGTCTAGAGTTCAGCAGAGACAGAAGCTAGTGAAGAGGGGAGAAACAGAGCCCCCTCCCCGGTGCAGAGGAGATGGAAGAAGCCCAAGCTTGTTCATAGGGTTGGCAGCCCCCTGGTCAAGCAGTGTCATGGGACCACCATGTCCCCGTGTGTAAAAGGGAGTGGATGTGTCACCTTCCTGGCAGGAGGGTTTTGGACTGCTCTCCCCAGTGTGGAGCCCAGCACAGATTCCCCATCCCTTCCCCACCCTCTGACATGCCAGGACACACACTGCTCAGTACAGATTCTGGAAGCAGCTGGGAATTCATGATAAAACTGTTTGCTTGCCCACGCATGGCTAGCCCAGAGGCACAGAATGTCCAAACTGAAATCACCTTCCCACAGACCTGCTTTTCCCGGGCCTCTGTCTCAGAAATGACATCATGAATCCACCCAGGATTTCAGAGTCAGAGCCCATGGTTGTCCTTGACCTGCCCCCTTAGGCACTGAGTCTGAAAACTCCTTTGATTCTGCCTCTTCTGGATCTGTCCTCTTTCGGCCCCCACCACCACTCCCCTCTCAGGCCACCAACAACTCTGGCCTGCCTTGGTGGCCTCCAGGCCTACGGCACATCTCCTCCCACCCGGGCCTACGGTGCAGCCAGCATGGTCTTTGCAGAACACAAGTCCGGTCCCGTCACTCCCTGGCAAATGCCTCCACCAGCCCCTGCTACTTTCGGGACAGTGCCCAACCCTTCACGTGGTGCCTCAGGGTCTGACTTCTGCCTGCCTCCACCTTCATCTCTGCTGTTCTGCTCACAGGCTGCCCTGAAGCCACGCCAAGCCTAGGGTTGTCTCCCTTCCAGCTGTGCTCTGTGCTTGGCCACGCGCCTGCAGTACAGT